TAATAAATATCAAAAGAAAAATCAAACCACAACTCGCATCAATGCTCACTCTATCCCTCTCCGGCGCATTGAGATTCACTCTATTCCTCTCCGGCGCATATAGATTTTCTCTATTCCTCTCCGGCGCATTGAGATTCACTCTATTCCTCTCCTGCGCATTGAGATTCGCTCTATTCCTCTCCGGCTCATTGAGATTAACTCTATCCCTCTCCGGCTCATTGAGATTAACTCTATCCCTCTCCGGCGCATTGAGAATCCACGGAGTATTGCAACATCTATTGCCGGGTACGCTATTCCATTTGGCTCCACAGCCGTAGCAAAATTCATTTTCACACCTAAATTGTTAAAAAGGAAGAATAAAATTCGTATCAAAAGCAACGTTTACATAACAAAAAAAAATATAACCAAAATTCGGCAAAAAAAAAATAAAAAATACTTGATGATGCCAACATTAATTACTTATTTCAGAGAAGCTCTTTAGGAGAATTGTGTCGAGAGAGATACCAGCAAGTCATGTGTCTGCATCCAGAAGAACGTTCAACCATGTGTTTGCACTTAGAACATTGACGCCACCCTTTACTACTTGCCAGAGATTTTAGCTTTAAATCATTTTCAGGATTAGGATGAAACTTGTTGTAACCAGTGCACGATAGGCTACTATGCCATGGAACTTTGCAGCGGACGCAGAAGTAGCCACGGCATTTGAAGCACCTCCTCTTATGTCCATATTGAAAAAACGAAGAAAGCTTGGTTTTCGGCATCAATTAAGAGCAACTTTGGTTCGGACAATAAACTCTCTTATTCAAAGGAGTTGAGTCCTCTTTAATCCTCTATTTCCACATCAAACTCAGCTTTGGAGTCAAAATCTTGACACATTTACGAATAGATAGCTGAGACTGGCACCGATGCTCAAGACAATTCGGTATCTTTCCATCAAGAAGCTTCACTTCTATATGCTGTTTCACACAGTTTAAGCAAAACCGATGACCGCAACTACCAACAAGAAACATGACATCAGAATCGATGTCTTGGTCGAGACAGATAACGCAGGTCTCATTCTTAGCTGCTTTGACTTGACGAGGAAACAAAAATGTTAGTCTACGCCTAATTCCTACTTTTACAGGCGCCTTGCTCTTCGCCGCCATCTTTTCTTCTTTACGAGTATGATCAGTTTTCTCTTTAAATCATATAAGATACATATACTACGTATTTTTCCAAAACAATGTATATTCTATATTATATACAAAGAATAATATGTTGTTTGTGATCAAAAAAAGAAAGTTAACAAAATATAGATAAGGAATAAAATAACAAATTTCTCAAGTTTTGAAACAAAAAATAGAAATAGTAGAATCTAGCTCAATAATTAAAAGTAAATTCATTCAAATAGAAATGGAAGAATCATCAAAGTTTAGAGAAAAATAGAAATTTTGAAATAAAAGTATATATGAAAAAATTCAAAGAAAAACATTCACTATTTCCAATTTCCCGAAGATATAATTACAAACATTGGCAATGAGTTCTTAAGAAAATATACAATTATTTTATATCAAAGAGTCAAAGTTACAAATAAGTCTAAAACTAATTATAACTAAATCCAGCCCTCTGAAAACAAATTCTCTAAAACACAAACTTGTAAACTAACCCTAAAAAAATGAAATCCTAAAACAAAACTGTAATTCCGAAAATTGTGTATTTCTTAATATAGTTTCTGGGAGAAAGCAACTAAGGCGCCTGATCAAAAGATAAGAGTTTAAGAGAACAAACAACACATATGTCTAATTTTTGTGTGCTGGTTTTGTCTTAAGAATGCTATTGTGCTTTGGTATAATATACAACCAGGCATAAAATGCAAATTACTATAAATACAATAACCCAAAACACAACCCATAAGCGACTGCGGGACTTCTTCAATGTTTCCAAACCGCAAATTCATGCAGTTAATATGGGACGAGCCGTACCATTCAGCTCGTAGCAAAAATGATTTCCACACCTAAAAGGTTACATAATAAGAACGAGATTGCATGAAAAACAAAACGTTTATATAGAGAAACAAAATCAAATGAAGGGATTGTTTGATTCAAAAAAAAACAAAAAGTTTTTTTAAAAACATACTTGCAAGTCATGTGTTTGCATCCGCAAGTACGTTCAACCATGTGTTGGCACTTGCTGCATTGACGCCACCCTTTAAGTTTTGCTAGAGATTTTAGCTTTACATCATTATTATCATTTTGAGGATCAGGTTGCAACTTCTTGTAATCGGTGCACAATAGCCTACTATGCCATGGAACTTTGCAGTCGACGCAGAAGAAGCCACGGCATTTCATGCACCTCCTAAGTCCAAATTCAACAGATGAAGAAAGATCGGTTTTGGACATTAGATAATAGCAGCTTATGTACGGACAATAAACCCTCTCACTTAAAGGAAGTGAGTCCTCTTCAATCCTCTGTTCCCACATCAAAAGCAGCTTTGGAGTCAAAAGCTCGTTACATCTATCAATAGATAGCTTAGTCTTGCACCGATGCTTAGGACAATCCGGTATCTTTCCATCAAGAAGCGTCACTTGTATATGTTTTCTGACACAGTTAAAGCAAAACCGATGAACGCATCTACCAACAAGAAACATGAGATCAGAATCAATGTCGTCGTCCAAACAGATAACGCAAGACTCTTTCTTAGTTGCCTTGGCTAACAAAGTTATTCTCCGCCTAACCCCCGCGTCCATACAAGCCATGTAGTCGTGGTGTAGCTGTCCCATAGCCTTAAACAATGCACTGTCCTTCTTATAATTGGTCTCCTTTACAAGTATGAGCTTTGCGCTTTAAATCATATATATAAGATACTAGGGGAAGCATATTCATTTGGATTTTATTGGAGATTTTTATGGGATTTGAGCAAATTTTGCAAAATTATTGTTACATGTTTTAGGATGCATGATTCGTAGAAATCTCAAATCCTAACTTTCAACGTGATCTCTCTACAATATTCTATGCATACAAATTAAAGAAGAATTAATATGTTAGTTATGATTTAAAAACAAAATAAAAACAATTTATAGCCATGCACTCACTATATTTATTTTCTTCATGTTATTTTCATATGTATACACAATAAAATCAATATCAAACACCACCAATGTATTTCAGTAATTTTAAAAGATTTAACCTTTTGAATTGTTTTTAAAGCTTTTTTCTTAATTAAGTGTCCCATGTAAAGGAATTAATTTTTTTTTTTTTTAGCATAAGGCAAAGGTGACCAAAGAAATTGATGTTGACTATTGGATCGATAAGTTAAAACCATTTTTAAATTTATAGTGACCGACGATCAACACTCTTAACAGTAATACTGTTGTTTGCCCTAATGTCAAAATATTATTGCAATGTAAACATATATAGCAAAAGTGTAAAAGAAAGACAAAAGTAGCTGCTTATACCAAATGTATTTTTAATTGATATGTGGTTAGTGTTGTCAAGTCTTTTTACCCCGGAACAAAGAATGTTTGAGGAGTATTCACTTGAGAAAAGAAATTTACATGTCTATGAAGAGAAGAATCAGAGAATGTATAAAACCAGCTTCATTCTTAAATCACACTACTTGTTCCTCGTTTCCGGGATTCTCATCATCATCGCTTCCTTCTGGTGGTCCATGGAGCTTAAATCTGCATTGAACAAAACCATTACTCCTCAAGAACAAAGATTC